ATTATGATCATATCTATTTTTATAAGCCATAATAATTAAATTTAATAAAAAAAAATGCATTTGTTCTTATCATTATGAAATTCAATTTATTAATTATTCATTGTTTTAATTAGACTTTTTCTATTTTGTATTTCACAATATTTATGAACTTGAAATATTTAGGTTGTATGAGCCTATACCCAAAAGAAACATGGCCATCTTATGAAGGTAAGATTCTATATTCTATAAAAGCTACAAGTTTTGACCATCACAGCTAAGATCTGGCATTACACTGGTGCAAACAACCACCATTTCCTTTGTATTCCATTTCTAAGAAGGAAGTTCCACTCAGACAGCCTTTCTCCAAGAAATGTTATTAGTATTTTTACCAAATTATATATGAAATTTGAAAATGAATTTAAGTTTGAAAAAACAAAATTTTAAATATATGTATGAGTATATATGAGAGATGTCTTTTGAAAGTTTCATACAAGTCTAATGTATTTTAAGCACCTATACCAGCATCACCTCCTCTTATTCTTTATTATTTCTCTTCTCCATCATCATTCTCACCTGTTGCTTGTAATTACTTATACTTCTCTTCACCTTCTTTTTATTAAGAAGGGCAAAACAGACATTTGTTAATCTTCAGGCTATTTTATTTTTCTGAAGACAAGTGTAGAGAAGTAGAAGACAACAGTGTTTTGAAATTTATAGATATAGGAAAATACCGAATGTCAGTTTTGTTCATTTCTATTATTAAGTTATGGACACCCATACTGAAAATAATCAACACAGGTTATGTTTGAAATTCAAACATATCTTTATCCTTAACATAAAATGCAATTCAAGATTCTCAATAGTTTTGATCCCAGTTTAAGTTTCTCAATAGTTTTGTATTACTGACAATAGCAATTTACCTACAAAAGGACAATTGAGAAAAATTAAACAATTAACAACCATAATTTGATATGACAGTGAGTTGAATGTTATTAATGTAAGGGTCTTATTTTTTTGAGGAGTACAAATAAGAAGAGAAAACGGCTAGTACTCCTGAATCTATCAGGAAAATACAGATAGAAATCAGTTGTGTAATGAAGATTTGTTATTTATAGTTTAAAATGAATAATGAAATTTCATAAAAATGACATGCTCAAATAAAAGAAATTCACTGCTTTTGTTTGAATTGTCAATTTTTGAATTGTCAATATAAATGAGCTCCATGTTTGGTCAAATCAGTCAATTGGGAACTGTTACCAAGAGCAAGATTAGCTTGAAAAAAGTATATCTGAGACTCTGGGACTCACTGCAGTTTGCATAATTTTGACTGAGTTGAGTTGTCCTGTCTTGGAAAAATGTAGAAAGGATATTACTCATCAAATTTCTACTTCTAAATTATTTTTTGAAATTTTAAAGATAAGAAAATCCAAGAATATACCAGGTGAACAGTTTACCAGTCTATGCTTATCTCAGATTTAGCTTTCCCTTTGCAAAATTTTCTCTTTCTCTTTCTCATATGCTTTGAAATATAAAGTTTGAATCTAAAGGAAATAAAGTGTCTTTGTGTTTCTTCCACCTTCAATCTATGTAACATTACATATTTATAATTAGTTCATTCAACACGTATAACAATGTAAACACAAAAGGTAAATAATATGGTTTCTTTATGATCACAATAGTCTCCCTTGTGGAAAATATCTCTTAACATTTAAGTTTCAAGAATGAAACACAAGGAATATACCTTAGGAGGAAACTCATTTATGAATCTAATCTAGTTGGAGTTTGAAGAGGAGTATTATAAGATCTCAGTGGATTATAAGGTCAGCCCAATATTACTTCCAGATTCAAATCTCCATCTTGCTTTGTGCCAAGTAATTAATTTCACAATATTTAGCTAATTCATCTCATTTTACCTATTTTCTCTTGTAGCCTTTTGGGTCTCTTTTAAAAGAACCATAAAAATGAGATTTGCAAGACTGTAATTCTTTTATCAAATATATTAATTTAAAACATACATTTCATTTCAGAACTTATAATTTTCAGTCTAATTGTTAATTATCTAACATTAATAATATTTAATTTTTGTTCATTTTCAAAACCTGATTTAATTTTTACAAATTAGAGCTCATTAGAGCTGCCAGTTTCAGGCCATATTTTCACACTTGAATCTGACTTCTGTATGCATCCATTGGTGTGTTGGTGGAAGTGAATAGGGTACAATCGGAGCCTTTTGTGTTGTCTTGTTTTATTCATCAAGGTTGTCCACTTTTGCCTTTGCTTTATGTTCTTGCATTGGCACCTTTCCTTCACAATATAAAAGCAAAGTTGGTCCTACATGAAATCTCTTTACTTGCAATATAAAAAATAACAGGAAATTCAGATGCATTGATAGTGGTTGATTTAATGTGCAAAATGATATATGCATAAAGTGGAAAATACCAAAAGTTAAAGTTTTCTATCTCTGCCAATTATTGATAGATTAACTAACTGAATAGTTATTGTGAGAAATAAAAACAAAGAATAAATATTTTAGAATATTTATAGCAAAGAAAATTAAACAACAGAATAGGGTGTAAGAATCAAACTCAAAACTAATAACCTGTTGCTCTGTAGTAGGCATTCTAAGCAGAAAATTAGTATTTATTTAATTGTGTTTTAAGAATTTTAAATGAATAATGCCAGCATGATAGGCCAAATTCATGGACAACCTCCTGCCATCAAAATCAACAACTACAATGTGGAAGTTTTCCATCAATTCACATACCTTGGCTCTACTGTTTCAGAGATCTTGTCCCTAGACACTGATTTCAGCAGTTGGATCTGACGAGCTGCCACTGTGTTTGCCAGGATGATCTCGATAGTCTGGGAGAACAGAAAGGTTATTACAAACACCAAAACTGTAGTCTATAGGGCATGTGTAGTCAGGATGCTGTTCTACGGCAATGAGACTTGGAGCCTCTACTCCAGACAGGAGAAACACCTGAGCACATTTCGTCTTCACTGTCTGAGATGCAATCTGGGTCACCAATGCCATAGTTCTCACCCATGCCCAGTTACCAAGCTTATACATCTTTCTTCAACAGCACTAGTTCCACTGGCTTGGACATGTACACTGTATGCTGGATTCCAAAGGTCCTTATGTACAAGGAACTGGCCACCAGCAAGAGGGCAGTGGGGTGACCTTATCTTCACTTCAAGTATATCTGCAAAAGGGACATGAGGCCAATGGACATGGACATTGAGAGGTGGGAAGATGTTGCCAGTGCACAATCATGTTGAAGATGCAATTTACACCAAGGGCTGGGGCAAGGATAGGTATAAATGAAGGCTTGCTGCTGAGGAGAAGTATGCTGGACAAAAGGAAAACAACAAGGTGACATTGAAGGAGAGCATCTTCATATGCATTCATTGCAATCAAGATTGTCACTTCTGTGTGGGCCTGTACAGTCATGAGAGATGCTGTACTGCTATCAGCAGCTGAGGCATGACTGGGTTTCTTAAGAAATTGCCCAAAGTAGGTTAGTTTAGGCTTGTTTTGCTTTTAGTTTTTTATACTAAGTTAACATAGCTAGAGGATGTATGCTCATTGACCCCTTTTATTTCTGTCCCCACTTTCTTTAGCTTAATTCCCTCTCTCACCCCTAGAAATGTCAGTTCTCTGGTGAATGTAGGACACTTTTTGTTTTTTTGTTTTTTGAGTGTTTTTTTCATATTTGTTGATAGTTTAAGTTAGAAATGCATCCAACAGGCATATCATGTGTGTCCCATTGCTAGATAAGCAGACACGGATATATGTGAGGCATTTTGTGACTACTTTCAGGATCTATTCACCATGGAGTACAGTCTCAGCCCTGCTCAGCTTAATGCCTATTTGGCTGACTTTCCCCACCTTGAGGTGGTTGGAGGTAAGGGTCCTGTTAAAGAGTCTGAGATCTGGGAAGTTCTGAAGCTGGTTGGCTGAGATAAAACTCCAGGATTAGATAGTCTACCTTATGAACCCTACTTGATGCAGTCATCTGTTCTTGTCCCTTTCCTGGAACTGATTTACAGCATCTGGATGAAGCAGGGGTCTATACCTCAATGCTTTACCAGGGGTGTGATCAAGTTGTTATGCAAAAACAAAGGCAGTAGGGATGTGATAGTCAAAGGCTGAAAGTTACCTATGTTAAATAGAGAGTTGAAGATTTTAGCCAAGATCCTAGCCAGCCATTTGCAGGCTGTCCTGTCTAATTTAATTGACTCTAAGCATACTTGTGCTGTGAAGAGCAGGACTATTCAGGACCACATTCATATGCTTGATCATCAAGCAAATTGACAGTGAAGCTGCACTGATCAATTTACATCAGTCCAAGGCATTTGATAGGGTTGACCATCATTCTTTTGAGGCTGTCCTTCTAGCTGCCAGTTTCAGGCCATATTTTCACACTTGAATCTGACTTCTGTATGCATCCATTGGTGTGTTGGTGGAAGTGAATGAGGTACAATCGAAGCCTTCTGTGTTGTCTTGTTTTATTCATCAAGGTTGTCCACTATTGCCTTTGCTTTATGTTCTTGCATTGGCGCCTTTCCTTCACAATATAAAAGCAAAGTTGGTCCTACATTGAATCTCTTTACCTGGTGCTACCACCTAGCCAGGTACTCCACCTATACTGATGATATTTCAGTTCTGCTGTTTTGCAATTGGGTGCATGGTAAGGAGTTTTTCTTCCCAGCCCTTTCCTCTGGATGGACAGACCAGTCAAGATATTTGGTGTCTGATTCGATCCTGATCTTCTGTTGGAAATGAATTGGTCAGTGGTATGGGAGAAAATTGAGATCACAGTTCATCTGTGGTCCCAATGGAATCTTTCCTAAAGGAGAAGGCAGAAGTATGTGCCTCTCACATCCCCCCAATTCTGTTTTTACAACTTGTAATCAGTCTAATAATAATAATAATTACATGTGACTTTCGCACAACTGGACAACTTCCCCCCGTTTACCCTCGAAAACTCTCAACTTTTATGCCGGTGAGGCATACACTTATGCAAATGAATACAGGTCTCACTCCCAGTGTGGTTGCACATGCACACTGCCATTTTTGTGTCTGCCACCAGGACGTTTGCCTCGTCAAATGTTCACTCATTCATTTGTTACACTCCACCCTGATCCTTGATGATCACAGCATGGACAAGGTCTCGTTGGTAATCTCCAGCATGTGCTTCATCGCAAGAGTGATTCTGTGGTTTCTCTATTTTGTGCTGTTTGTTGGCTAGGCAGTGTGATATACCCAGTGTCGTCAGAAGTCTCATCATCCACTTCGCCAGATGGGATGACATTTGTCTGGTGTCATACGTCCTTTATATGGTGTGGGACGACGTCAACAACAACGGATTGCAGGCTGATCACCTCTGTCACTGTTCCTTCTTGGAATCTTCAAGTGCATCGATAATGGGGCGTTTTGACCCACACAGAGTCTCCCAAACGGTATCTGTTTTGTGCAGTGGCCGGTGACGTTGGTACTGGGTCGATATTCCTTATCCTGACCTCATATCTGTAGATTCTGTTGGCAGGTGCAGCCAATGGAGATGTATCATCTGTGGGTGCTACGTTGTACCAATACACCGCTTCTTGAACAGAGCACCCCATCATCATCATTTTTCGCAGTGGGACATCCTCTGTAGTGTCATTCCATCCTCGGGTCACAGCATTGGCCCATTCGCTTTATAACTCCCATTGCTGCTTGGAGCCACCCATACACTGGCAGATGCCCAATCAGCTTCCCACATAGAGAGAAAATGGCACAACATGTCACAACTTCTGGGATATCCGGAATCACACTCCCACGCTTCCACCACAAAGTGCCACGCTCCCCCCAGACATCCAATCCAAGCATCCGAGCACAGTCTTCAAGTTGCTCCAGATCCTTACTTTCTAGCCCAAACTGGGAAAAATTCTGCCTTACCCACTCCGTGGGCGCCACGCTGTTGTTGATGTACACATTGTCTATGTATGCCGACGTCGGCTGTTGAACAGTCACATCTCTGGATAGAACAGCCTCCACGATCGACTGCATAATGGAGGGGGCTACATTCAACCCAAATCCCATCCAAGTTAGACAGTATCTTTGCCCTTTAACCATTACAGTTTGGAACGGCCATAGAGAACAGTGCACATGCACCTGAAGGTAGAATTTTTCTTAAGTCCAACACCGACATGTAAGACCACTTCTTACGCCAGTCTCTCAGTTTTTGAGAGCACACATTGGCACGTGCCGTGTACGCTTCCACATGGTCGTTTAGTTTGTGGTAATCCATAACAGCTCATACTTTTCCTTTGTTAGGCTGAACAATTGCCATTAGTGGGATCAAGCTTCACGGGGGACTGAGCTCCTTCTCCGGGTATGGTATCAGCCATCTCTTATGAATCCAAGTCTGCAACTCGCAATTATATTCCTTCTGGATGTGTTTTGGCACGGTATATTCAGGCGTCTGATTGATCAACTGATCTGCCGGCAGCTCACCCAACCACTTCCAAGTCACCATCCATATTTTCTTAGTGGGGTTGAATTCCACATCAAAGTCAGGTCTTTCTATTTTTATTGTGACAGCAGCGCCGACACTGGCTGGACACATTGTTTGGAAAACTGGCCTCACCATGCTCATTTATATGAACAGCACCCAACAGGCGTATAACATCAAGTCCAAGCAGGAGATTGAACCCCAATAGATCTCCATCCATGGCCAGCATTTCGACCACTACGAGAATCCTCTTATTCACCTGTAGATTGACACTGGTCACTCCCCTGCTAGTCATGTTCCTTCCGTCAACAGTCAGTACATCCGTCCTACGTCCATTCGGTGAACCACAAACCAAACTCTGGCAGGTTAGTTCTTACATTACTCGGGGCGAGAGTGGCACTCACATCTTGCCCCTGTCTCCGTTTTCCGGACATTTCAACGCGACGTGGCCCTCCTTCTGGCACCCGTAACATCGGATGTTGGGCTTTCGGCGCTGCCCTAGTCATTCAAACTGGCAGTGCTTAGTCAGATGGTTGGGCCCAGAACAATCAAAGCAATGCAGCGAGCTCTCGGTGGGCTTAGGTAGAAGCACTTTTTCTGTAGGTGGTCAGTCGACGGTGGCAGCAACCCATTCACTGTTCATGACAGCTCTTGCCTGGCCGAGCATGCTCTCCGTGGGAATGTGGTCAACATCGGCAGACGCCCGCAACAACTCCTGGGTGTGGGCAGGCAGTTCAGCCATGAACATATACTTCAGTGCTCGGTCAGGCATTCCTCCGAACGGGCTGGAGAGTTTCTTCAATGCTGCGTAGAACTCATCTACCGACTCATCCGAGCGCAAAGTGCATCTCGAAAACTGCTTGTACGCTTCACATGGGTCAAGTGCAAAGGCCCTTTGAAGTGCAGATTTCACCCTGGTCACATCGGTCTTGTCTGCATCCGAAAGTTGCTAGTAGACATCGAAGGCCCCCTCCAGCCAATCGCAAGGGGATTGCTTGCTTGACCTGGTCAACTCCCGAAAGTTTGCAAATCATGTCTACTCTTTCTAGCCAACCAACAATTGATGTCGTTCCGTTGTATTCTGGCACAAGCTTTACATCGAACTTTCTGTCAGTCATAATGCCAAAATAGCTTGTAATCAGTCTGTAACAAAATTACTGATGTCTTTGTCTTCTCCGTCTTCTTCTTCTTCTTCTCAGTCTTACGTCACAGTCAACATCGAAATGAACAACACGTGTGACTTTCGCACAACTGTACAACTTTCCCCTGTTTACCCTCGCAAAGTCTCAGCTTTTATGCCGTTGAGGTATACGCTTATGCAAATGAATATGGGCCTCGCTCCCAGTCTGGTCGCGCACGTGCACCTCCAGTTTTGTGTTCGCCGCCATGACGTTTGCCTCGTCAAACGTTCACTCATTCATTTGTTACACAACTCTTCATACTTCCACTCACATATACCATTCTAAATCATATTAGAGCGGCATTTTGATGACGGTTTGCCATCAGGATATTGGGAATGCTGTCTTAAATGTTGGCAACCCCACACAAAATAGGTTAGTTTAGACTTGTGTTAGGCAAGTTAATTTAGCTAGGGGATGTATGCTCATTGACCCCTTTTATTTTCTGTCCCTACTTTCTTTAGTTTAATTCTCCCTTCCCTGTTAGGTGACCAGAAATGTCAGTTCTCTGGTGGATGCGGGACACATTTTGCTTTTCTAGTGTTTTTCATGTTTGTTGTTGTGTCTGAATGAGTGTGTATTTGAGTGTGTGTGGTTAGTTGAATGATTGGTTTTAATTTATCCTTGTTCCACATTAATTCTTCCAGTTAACTGATATTTCTGCCACAATTAAGGATTGTGTGTGGGGAGAGGGTTATTACTAACAGCATTTTGTTTAGTTTTGTATATATACAGTGTAAACCTGGATATAAGAAAGTTGCTGGGACTGGAGAAGAAGTCTCTTATATCCGGGTTTCTCTTATATCCGGGTTTGGTCTATTTTATATACATTAACACAGGCTCTAATTTGGGACCAGAAAATCTCTTATATCCGGGTTTCTTATATCCGGGTTACACTGTAGTACTATTTACATATTCATTGGGGGTTTTCATTTCTAAATGTTATTATTTTATTATCTCCACTCCCCCAGACAAATTGTACATATGGGGACTAGTTAGGATTTCATAGAGACTTTGAGGTATTATAGTTGTTGTAGTAAGAATGATAAGTAAGAATGTGGTGTTTTGGTGTAAGGAATATATTATAGTTTGTTTGGGTTAGTGATTGTGTTTTTAGCTAAGTTTAAATATGACAGACTGATGACCAGCCTTCCCCATGTCCCGTTTTGGCCTTGTGCCACATTTTCTGTTTCATTTCAGAAATAAATATCAGTTACCTGGTAAAATGATATTATATCAGATTAGATCAACAAACATAACTGAGCTGAATATTAATGTTTGACACAAGGCCACAATAACAGAGTAGAGTGTAAGAAACTCAAAACTAATGTTGATCTATAGTCTGTATTCTAAACAGAATATAAGTTTATTATTTATTTATGCAGAACTTAATGTAACTTTTGTGAATTGTGCATTTGACTGATTACTGATTTTGCTAAAATGCTTTACATGAGAAAAGAAATTATTTCATATCAATTAAAAATTTACTAAATCTATTTTGTTTTTCAGGAATTAAGGCTGACTGCAAACATAACGGAAAAATATATTATATTCGTGACCCTCACTGTTACTTCACTTCCAACTGCAATATAGTATGTAGTAAAAAAAAATTGGCTTCTTATAAACGTACGTAAAATATTCACCATACCAAATGATTGATGTTACAAACAGTAAAAATAAGAAGGTCAAAAGTGGTCATCAGTAATGCCAAATGATCCTGCCAAATTTTGTAATGTCAAATGCAACAATTTCAAATTTGGCTTGAATAAGACAATGGTAATAAAAGTAATTTATAAGTTCCATGAATTATGCAATAAGCCTTTTGTACAGTTTAGTAATAAAAGAAAAATAATTCATACGCGTAAATGAAATGGAAAGAAAAATAACTTTAAAATCATGACTTACCCTTTTACAGATTTAAGATTTTGATGAATAATGTCATTATCCCAAAATAATCATAATTTCCTTAAAGATAATTTCTGTGGTGGTAAGAAGGCAGAATATTAATGCACAATAAATTTAGAGATTTCTTTTAATGCAAAGGACATGTATTAGAGAAATACTAAAGTTAATGTGTTCTATTTAAAACTTTGTTTCAAAAGTATTTACTCAATGTAAGAAAATCTTGGATAGATTAAACTGAGTTTACAATGATAACAATTCCTCTTGTAATATAGAACATATGTTGTAAGAAATGTAAGCAAAAATTAACATTTTGCATTGTTTAAATCTGAAAAAATATACTTTCTATTCATGGCATTTTGTTGTATTGCTCCTTTGTGCTGGGGAGGTCTTGGATGACAGCATCAATTTAATAATAACGTTGCATTCTTCTCTCATGGCTGGTGATTGCTAGTTTGCTTTGAGTCCAGAGATAAAAGAACTTTAACACAGGGAATTTTAACTTTACTATTTCATTAACATTCATGTTGATATGTTCTATCTATCCAGTGGGGGATTGATCCCTCTCCACTGAGAAGCCATTCCAGACACAAAAGTCAACATGTCTACATCGCTTGACAGTTAAGAAACAACTCACTGAAAAAAATTTCTATCACTCTCAATCAAAATCAACTTTGTCTTCCAACTGATCTCAAAAGTCAACCTCAGGAAGTTTGAGCAGAGATACACTTCCTCTAAAAAATAATAGTCTGCTAAATTATTTTTTCTTTTTATATTACTAGTTCATATCCACATGAAATGACTGGACAATCTTGAGGAGTCTCAGAGGATAACAAATTCTGTCAAGTATCTTGAACAAACCATCATTGCTCACAAGATTGAATACTTTTGTGAGTTTGATGAAGGCAATGTACAGTGGTTATCTCTGTTCTCAGCATTTCTCCTGTAGTTGTCAAAGATCATGTCAAACTGAGACAATATTTGATGCAAAAAGGATTACATCCCAATGGTCACATTACTGCTACATAGTGGAAAACCTATCTATAGTACTTGCTAACAAAGTTATTGACTTTCTAAAAATGATACCCAAGAATCAGCCCTACAATATGCTCAAAGACACCATTATGAAGCCTACAGGTCTAATGAAAGCATGCTACAGGACTTTTTCAATGATGACAAAACTAATTCACAGTTATTACAATATATGAAGAGATTATTAGGCTTCTATGTCATGCCTGACACAAGACTGTGGCAGGACAAATTAACATTCAATATGAATCAAATTCTAGCACCAACTGCAAGACAGGCAGACATTGATAAACTGGTGGAAGTTGCAGATCGTATTCATATTAGTCATAATAGATTAGTACATTTTTTACAGAAGCATCAAAAAGAAATAGCAAGTCTTAAACAGGCAGTTGAGGAATTGACAATGCAGATAAAACAGCTCAATAGGAAATCACATAGGTCTTGCTGTTGGATGTAGTTTTTCGTCTTACCCAGGACACAAATGTAGTTTATCATCTTACCCAGGATGGATTATATTTAGGCACAAAGAAGCATACAACCAGATATTGTATCCAAGCCACAGGCTGCCTGGTTTAATCTACTCCATTCAGGCTGTGACAGGATAGACACAAGTTTACCAAAGAGGAATTTGAGAAAATGCTTCAACAAGATGTGATTTGACCCTCAAAAAGTTCATGATCATTTTCAATCCATTTGGTATCCAAAGGCAATTTGACCTGACAAACATGTGGGTATTTTAGGTGATTGAATGCGATTACAAATGACAGCTATCCTCTTCCATACATAAGTGGCTCTATAGCAAGCTTACAAGGATCAACCATTTCTTCTTCTAAGCTGGACCTTGTACAAGCATACCACTAGCAGATGAGAATATACATAAAATGGCAGTTACAACAACATTTGAACTGTATATATTTACAAGGATGCTATTTTGTAATCTTTGTAATGCAGTGCAGGCATGCCATCAGTTTCTAGACAAAGTCTTTCATGGTTTAACCTTTATCTACACATTTGTTAATGATATATTTATATCCAGGGCAAACAAGTCAGAGCATTTGAAGCATCTTTAGGAAGCATTTACCAGACTAAGTTAGTGTGTTAAACAATTAAATTCCTTATGCCACACAATCTCAAGAGAAGCTATGGAATTAACACATTAATTCCATTTATATTTTACGCGCGCGCGAGTTTCCTCCCTTCCTTTCACACTCGTGCGTGTGTGCGCGCGTGTTTTCACCCCTACCTTTCACTCACAGCTAAATGTAGCAGTAAACTCGTTGGCTCCTGCTGATGAACTCATGATAGATTTTGAATTTTTTCCCGCGCGTTTCGCGGCGTCTAAAACGGCCAGCGTTTGCAAGCCAGTTGCCTCTCGACTTTCGACCCGACTAGATGGGCAACTCATTTATTCCGTGCCCTTAACCCATATGCGGGCCGGAATATCTTATTTCAACAATGGCGACTTCACACTCTACCAAGACTTCTTCTCTTCTTGAAGCTAATCGCAGGTCAGACCTTCTCCGTTTTCTACCAGAAGACGTTAGAGACACACGACACAGTCGTGAGCAAAAGTTCGTATTCAACTAATAATGGGGTATTTTTATCCCTTGTCAGTGAACCAATACATACAGACAGGGATATCCTACTGACGAACAACTTGCTAATCGCAGATCAGACCTTCTCCGTTTTCTACCAGAAGACGTTAGAGACACGACACAGTCGTCGGCAAAACTTCGTATTCAACTAATAATGGCTTATTTTTATCCCTCGTCAGCGAACCAATAAATACAGACAGGGATATCCTACTGACGAACAACTTGCTAATCGCAGATCAGACCTTCTCCGTTTTCTACCAGAAGACGTTAGAGACACGACACAGTCGTCGGCAGAAACTTCGTATTCAACAGGTAACCAATAAAAACACCAAATAATTAATTCTGCGTCCCTTTTGGCTCGTCATTCAAAGTCCTTCTACGAGATGATGCATATACCAAATAATTAACTTTTCGGCCCTTTGTGACTCGTCATTCAAAGTCCTTTTCCGAGACGACGCAGAACATACAAAATATTAATTCGTCGTCCACTTTGGGTCTCGTCATAAATCTGTTTTGAACCAGTACAAAAAAAAGGGGAAAAAAAATATGTACATAACATTCACTCACATTACCTAAAAACTCGCAGTGAGTATTTTTCCTTGTATGAATATTATCATGTACATTGACTTACTGGAACCTTTCTTCTTCAAGAACCTTTCCCGCCTTTAGCCATCTTATTTTCTACTTTTGGCGCGGAACATAT